CCCCACACCCCCCAGTCCCCCGAGCACCGGGCAGCGCTCACCTGTCCCCCGAGCACGGCCTAGTGCTCACCTGTCCCCACACCCACCAGTCCCCCGAGCACCGGGCAGCGCTCACCTGTCCCCACACCCACCAGTCCCCCGAGCACCGGGCAGCGCTCACCTGTCCCCACACCCACCAGTCCCCCGAGCACTGGGCAGCGCTCACCTGTCCCCCGAGCCCGGCACAGGGCTCAGCAGGCCCGCACCGCGGCCCAACACCCGCGTGCAGGCCCTGGCAAGCAGCGTCCAGCTCGGCATGGCGGCGCCGGGGTCACTCAGGCCTCCGTGCCGCCGCCCGCCGCTCCGCTTCCAGGCCCGACGCGCGACTCGTGCCCGCGGCCCAGGAAGCTCCGCGCGGCTTCCCGGCAAGGTCCTCGGGGCCGGAAGAACACCCGGCGGGCACTTCCGGTCCGTCCCGGAATGCGCTCCGCACACGCGGCCCGGAACTAGAGTTCCGCCCTGTGACCGTGCGTCGCTAAACTCGGTCCTGTCAATTACTACTGCGCTTCCGGAAGCTGGACAGTTAGTAAGGGAGGTAGAAGAAGAAGAAGAAGACGTTTTGAATGTGGTGTCCAAGAAGAGTACTGGATATTCCATGGACTGCCAAGACCACAAACACGTCTGTCTTGGCCGAAGTGCAGCTAAGGTGCTGCTCAGAGGCTTCCCGTATTTTAGGAACATTGTCAGGAGGGACCAGTCCTTGGAAAAAGACATCGTGCTGGGCGTGGTGGAGGGTCAGAGGAAGAGAGACCCTCAACAAGAAGGACTGACTCAGTGACTGTAACAGCGGGCTGGCGCATGCCAGAGAAGGCCAAGGTGGTGCAGGCGAGGTTCACGTCTGTTGTTCACAGGTCGTGATAAGCCGTAGTTGACGGGAAAGCACCTGACATAGAAACAGCACCATAGGGAGTGGGCGTTGAGAGGGTAGAGCGCTCGTCCTCTCCCCAGGAGCCTGAGAAAAGGTCTGACCCATTAATGGGGCCACACGGAGACTTCACCCCATAAAGGGAAAGGAATTAACTTCCAAGAGTGCTCAGCCTAGTGGTAAGAAGCTGCAGTGCCAACCCAAAGGCACAGGGTTCAAATGCACCAGCTGTTCTGCGGGGATGGGGTTGGGGAGATGGACAGTCAACTCCTGGGCGACTTACTGCCTCTAAAAACCTGCTGGCGTGTTAGCTATAGGTTGGTTACAACTTGATAGGACATAACAGCAACAATAACAACAGAGCTCACTAGGTGACAGGCCTTTGTGCTAAGCAGTAATTTATGCTCTTATATATTGGCTCATCACAACAGTTCTGAGGGGAATTGAGTTTTATTTTATAAATTGGAGAAAACACACTAAAAATTTAGGCTCTCAGCTAGGATCACAGCAGATGTGCGAAGTCAAAGTTTGAATCATCTGAATACAGACAGCACAGTACATTTCACTGCAGGAGTTCTGGAGTTTACAAACTTATGCTTAAGATGTGTTCTTTGGCCGCCAGCATTGAAGATGGTTCGGGTGATCCTTGCGTCCTGTATTCAGGCCCTTGTGTAGTTCTCTTTCTCATTGATGAAGACTTGATCTCTGATAGAAAAGACCGTGGTCAAAGCAATGACGTGACTTCCTGGGGTAGGTTACATAGGACATTTGTGACTGCTGTTTTGAGAAAGGCTAGTGGCCATGCAAGGAGCCCTGGTGGTTTGATGTGAAGGAATTGTACTGCCAGTAGAAAGAGCCCACCAGCTGCCCCATGGGAGGAAAATGAGCACTCTCTTTCCTTGCAATTTGCAGCCTCTGAAAACCTGCTGGTGGGTGAATTTTGGGTTGGGTCCTACTCTACTGCAATGAACAAATGAGTGAGTTACCATGACCTACAGACATTCAGACAGTCCTATGGAGATGTCCGCTGGGACAAGATCCAACTGGCCCATCACATGAATGGTGTACTGAACGAGTGGACGCCCTAGCCCCAGAGCATTACAACTTGTGAAAGATCGCACAACCAAGCTGCTCACAACTGCCAGAGAGAGTATATAATTAATGCTGTTTTGAGAAAGCTGTGATCCAGCATTAGAGAGCTAATACACCTAGCCTAATGCATATACCTTGGACACTCATTCTGCTACTCTGAAAGTCCATTTTTTATCTGTCAAATGGGTGTGTGTGGAGACTCTGCAATGAAAACAAGAGTTTAGCCTTTTCACACTCCTCGTTTTGAGATCTGCATTGCACAGGAGCAATTTGCTTGCTTTCTGTCTGCTAGGTGTCCTTGCTGTTACCATGGCCACCTTACAACACCACTTTGGATCTTTTTTT